CTGTGTGTTGTTGGTTGCTGGCGTGTGTTGACTTCTGCATGTCTGTGTGTTGTTGGTTGCTGGCGTGTGCTGACTTCTGCATGTCTGTGTGTTGTTGGTTGCTAGCGTGTGCTGTCTTCTGCATGTCTGTGTGTTGTTGGTTGCTAGCGTGTGCTGTCTACTGCATGTTTGTGTGTTGTTGGTTAATGGCGTAGCTGACTTCTGCATGTCTGTGTGTTGTTGGTTAATGGCGTGTGCTGGCTTATGCATGACTGTGTGTTGTTGGTTGCTAGCGTGTGCTGACTTCTGCATGTCTGTGTGTTGTTGGTTGCTAGCGTGTGCTGTCTTCTGCATGTCTGTGTGTTGTTGGTTGCTGGCGTGTGCTGTCTTCTGCATGTCTGTGTGTTGTTGGTTGCTGGCGTGTGCTGACTTCTGCATGTCTGTGTGTTGTTGGTTAATGGCGTGTGCTGTCTTCTGCATGTCTGTGTGTTGTTGGCTGCTGGCGTGTGCTGTCTTCTGCATGTCTGTGTGTTGTTGGTTGCTGGCGTGTGCTGACTTCTGCATGTCTGTGTGTTGTTGGTTAATGGCGTGTGCTGTCTTCTGCATGTCTGTGTGTTGTTGGTTGCTAGCGTGTGCTGACTTCTGCATGTCTGTGTGTTGTTGGTTGCTGGCGTGTGCTGACTTCTGCATGTCTGTGTGTTGTTGGTTAATGACGTGTGCTGTCTTCTGCATGTCTGTGTGTTGTTGGTTGCTGGCGTGTGCTGACTTCTGCATGTCTGTGTGTTGTTGGCTGCTGGCGTGTGCTGACTTCTGCATGTCTGTGTGTTGTTGGTTGCTAGCGTGTGCTGTCTTCTGCATGTCTGTGTGTTGTTGGTTGCTAGCGTGTGCTGTCTACTGCATGTTTGTGTGTTGTTGGTTAATGGCGTAGCTGACTTCTGCATGTCTGTGTGTTGTTGGTTGCTGGCGTGGGCTGGCTTATGCATGTCTGTGTGTTGTTGGTTGCTGGCGTGTGCTGACTTCTGCATGTCTGTGTGTTGTTGGTTGCTGGCGTGTGCTGACTTCTGCATGTCTGTGTGTTGTTGGTTGCTGGCGTGTGCTGACTTCTGCATGTCTGTGTGTTGTTGGTTGGCGGTGTGCCTGTGTGTTGGTGTGTGTTATCTCCTGCTCTGTGTTGTCGGTTGCTAATGTCAGTTATTGGTTTTAGTTATTCTTTGTGTATGTACTTTTTTGTTGGTTAGATTACACGAACAAAGAAAGGTACCCGGACCGATATCACCTTGGAAGAAATTAAAAGCTTGGGACATTTAGAAATTAAAATAACAATTTTTTAAAAATGAAATTTGAAATATTGGGTACACTCCTAATGAAAGATTGCAGTCCAAATTTATTGCTGTGCCGAATAAACCAGACAGTTTAAAATTTGAAGACCGTCGCATAATAATGTCTTTTGAATCGTAAATCAAAACAGGTATTAACCGAGAACAATTATCAGAAGAATAAGAAAGAATATCTAACCAAACATCGGTGGACAACCATGTGGATTTTTAGAAGACAAAGGTCGGAAAGAACAATCTAAAGACTTAATTGTACGTAATCTTCATTGACTATGCAAAAACAAATAACTGTGAAATATACGGAAATAATCAAACTACGGGGAAAATGAATTATTTATGGGCCAGATCTGATCGACGAATAGTGGATGTGTCAACGCCCTGATTGCCGTTCGCAAACAATACCATCAGAGTGGTGCGGCAGAGACGTCAGATGGTAGTGACAGTGTTTCGTCGGATCGAGGTAAAGCTGAACAGCAGACTGCAAAAGCTGCAGTATTGTAACTATGGCTGGCCTTGTAGGCCGATAACAGATAAAACTGCTTAAAACACACAGCAAGCCCGACACACCACAGCCGAACACACCCAGCCGAACACACAGTGAGCATTGCAGGTACGGCAGTAAGCCTCAAGAGCTGCAGGTGCCCCTTATTCGAAACGCAGGCCGAATCAGCTTTACAATCACTAGTCACGCCTGAGCCGTTCCCATGAATAAGCACCGGACTCGAACCGACATCATTTTCGCACAGCTCTGTAAAAATCCGCTGTCCCCGACATGAGGATTCTGGGCCGTACACAGAGTAATGGCCAGATGTGTGCAAGCAGATGCTTACACCACAACCAATGAATGACAGTCTTGAACAGCTGCTTGAACAAAATCCAGGAGAATAATTCCTATCCGTACAGTGTCTCACACTAGATAACTTTGTCAAACACCGTACAATATAAATGACATCTACAACCTAATGGAAACACATGGCTAGGGATCACTACACCTATCAGTCAGATGCTATCGTCTAACAGTCCTGTCCACAATGTGCCTGTCCAAAGTGGCACAAATTCTCCCCCGATCTTCCTGGAGCAGCTGTTGTTCCATTCCAGAGTTCACTCCCACTTGCCGTCTGCTGGTGAATTCGGTCAAGCGTCCAGCTTTCTCGTTGTCAGTTTGGTGTCACCTTGAGTTCATATCTGGGTCATCTCGTACACACATAACGGTCTAACAACATCACCACGTTGCCGACCTGGCACCTGACAGGATGTCAAAAGTGTTGAGCACGCGACATCACAGTGCAGACGAATATGCTGACGTTATAATGACAGTTCGAAGATGGGAGCTCCACTAGAGAGGAGCACCTTCTGTTATCTGATCAATGAAGTGAAATTCATCGCCAACAAAAACAAAACAAAAATGTCCCGTGTGGTAATGCCTGTCTGTGAATCCAGCAGGTTAGTAGACAGTTTCATAACGGCCTGACCTCTGTGACAGACTGTTGACGACTGGGTTAGGTAGACTGTTGACGACTGGGTTAAGTAGACTGTTGACGACTGGGTTAGGTAGACTGTTGACGACTGGGTTAGGTGGACTGTTGACGACTGGGTTAGGTAGACTGTTGACGACTGGGTTAGATAGACTGTTGACGCCTGGGTTAGGTAGACTGTTGACGACTGGGTTAGGTAGACTGTTGACGACTGGGTTAGGTAGACTGTTGACGACTGGGTTAGGTAGACTGTTGACGACTGGGTTAGGTAGACTGTTGACGACTGGGTTAGGTAGACTGTTGACGACTGGGTTAGGTAGACTGTTGACGACTGGGTTAGGTAGACTGTTGACGACTGGGTTAGGTAGACTGTTGACGACTGGGTTAGGTAGACCCAGTAGTGAACCCCACAGTTGACTGCAGCCGTTAAAGGCCTGGTACAGGGTAACCACCGATTGACTGTCAGTGACACTGGCGCACGTCTTGACATTAGTGTCACAAGTAACCACCGATTGACGGTCAGTGACACTGGCGCACGTCTTGACATTAGTGTCACAAGTAACCACCGATTGACGGTCAGTGACACTGGCGCACGTCTTGACATTAGTGTCACAAGTAACCACCGATTGACGGTCAGTGACACTGGCGCACGTCTTGACATTAGTGTCACAAGGAACCACACCGATTGACGGTCAGTGACACTGGCGCACGTCTTGACATTAGTGTCACAAGTAACCACCGATTGACGGTCAGTGACACTGGCGCACGTCTTGACATTAGTGTCACAAGTAACCACCGATTGACGGTCAGTGACACTGGCGCACGTCTTGACATTAGTGTCACAAGTAACCACCGATTGACGGTCAGTGACACTGGATGCACGTCTTGACACTAGTGTCACAAGTAACCACCGATTGACGGTCAGTGACACTGGCGCACGTCTTGACATTAGTGTCACAAGTAACCACCGATTGACGGTCAGTGACACTGGCGCACGTCTTGACATTAGTGTCACAAGTAACACACGATTGACGGTCAGTGACACTGGCGCACGTCTTGACATTAGTGTCACAAGTAACCACCGATTTGACGGTCAGTGACACTGGCGCACGTCTTGACATTAGTGTCACAAGTAACCACCGATTGACGGTCAGTGACACTGGCGCACGTCTTGACATTAAGTGTACACAGTAACCACCGATTGACGGTCAGTGACACTGGCGCACGTCTTGACATTAGTGTCACAAGTAACCACCGATTGACGGTCAGTGACACTGGCGCACGTCTTGACATTAGTGTCACAAGTAACCACCGATTGACGGTCAGTGACACTGGCGCACGTCTTGACATTAGTGTCACAAGTAACCACCATCCTGGATTCTAGCTGAGAATGTCCAGCCAGTTTTGACTTCACGTGTGACTAATAAATAGTGTCTTAACCTGATGGTTTATATCAGTTGACATCCCAGGCTAGTAGAATAATTCAATTAGTTAGTGAACACCAGTTTAGTTGGCTTGTACACCTGTTTGGTCCGCGTTGGCATGTACATATGCTCAGTTGCCATGTACTTAATACGTTTTATTGACAGTATGTGTACATACTGAGTTGACATGCAAACCTGTTTAGTGCACATTTATACATATTGAGTCGGCGTGTTAGGCTGAACTGTACGCTAGTTGGCATGTACAATGTGGGATGCGATTGTACACATGTTTGGTTGACATGTACACGTTAAGGTGTACACGTATTGTGTTCGGGTCTCTGTGGCGAAGTGACCAAACCATTTTCCTCATGCTTTGAAGGTCTTGGGTTCGTTTCGCGGCTGCATCGTCCAGTACAAGTGCAATTTGTACGAAGGTCTCTGTGGATCAATGCTGGATCTACGGAGTTCAGCTTTGTGCGAACGCTTTGACCTGTACATGTTCGGTTGACCGTATCTGTTGTGTTAACCTGTACATGTTGGGTTGACCGTATCTGTTGTGTTGAGCTTTACTTGTTAGGTTGACCTTATCTTTTGTGTTGAGCTGTACATGTTGGTTTGACCGCATCTGTTGTGTTGAGGTGTACATGTTGGTTTGACCTGTAAATGTTGTGTTGAGCTGTACATGTTGTGTTGACCTGTAAATGGTGTGTTGAGCTGTACATGTTGGGTTGACCTGTACACCTGCAAGGCTAACATGTTTGTGGACGTTTCTGTCTCCTCTACCATAGCGGACATTTTGCAATAGTTCGTCGAGTGACCCACAAAACCACCGGACATGCTTACGCGGCCAAATTTATCCGCAAACGGCGGGGAGGCGGCAGGAAGGGCGCCCGAATGGAGGACATCCACAAGGAGGTGAACATCCTGCGCCAGCTCAACCACGGTAACATCATCAACCTGTACGACGTCTACGAGACCAGCCTGGAGGTCGTCCTCATTCTGGAACTGTGAGTATCTCATTCTCTGTGCGCGCTTGTGAGTGTGTGTGTGTTTGGGCGTTTTTGCTTTCTTGATTTCCTTTTTTTTTCTACGTTGTGATATGTGTACTTTTTTTTTTATTTCTTGTGATTTTTAAATCTTACTTTTTAGAATTTTAAACTTCTATAACTCTATTTAATATCCTGTCCTCTACTTCATCTTTGTCTGAGCCACTGTCGTATCTTTAGTCATTGCCGCTAACTACAGCCGAGGCATCCTCTGTGAAACTACCACCCGAATGTAACAGTTTGGGAGTCAGACATGTGTATTGTTTCAGGCACAAATAGATCTGTGATTTCAGAAAGATAACAGCGAAATATTATTTTTTCAAAAAATCTTAGCTTCGATGTTTCTGTATTAAACTGCTGTCTTCGCTGATCTCAAGCAGATGTTGACACAAACAATTCCTTGATTATTTCCTGGGCACCCATGGCATATGCTGGCGACACCCCGTTAGACACCAGCCGTTAGCAGTTGTGCTTGGTTGATTTGTTTTGTGGGAACACACAGCCGTGACTAGCACTGTTGGGTGTCCATGTTTAGGGTGCTTGCACACAGCCGTGGACTTGGTGGAACACACAGCCGTGACTAGCACTGTTGGTGTCCATGTTTAGGGTGCTTGGTGGAACACACAGCCGTGACTAGCACTGTTGGTGTCCATGTTTAGGGTGCTTGGTGGAACACACAGCCGTGACTAGCACTGTTGGTGTCCATGTTTAGGGTGCTTGGTGGAACACACAGCCGTGACTAGCACTGTGTGGTGTCCATGTTTAGGGTGCTTGGTGGAACACACAGCCGTGGCTAGCACTGTTGGTGTCCATGTTTTAGGGTGCTTGGTGGAAACACACAGCCGTGACTAGCACTGTTGGTGTCCATGTTTTAGGGTTGCTTGGTGGAACACACAGCCGTGGCTAGCACTGTTGGTGTCCATGTTTAGGGTGCTTGGTGGAACATACAGCCGTGATAGCACTGTTGGTGTCCATGTTTAGGGTGCTTGGGTGGAACACACAGCCGTGGCTAGCACTGTTGGTGTCCATGTTTAGGGTGCTTGGTGGAACACACAGCCGTGACTAGCACTGTTGGTGTCCATGTTTAGGGTGCTTGGTGGAACATACAGCCGTGACTAGCACTGTTGGTGTCCATGTTTAGGGTGCTTGGTGGAACACACAGCCGTGGCTAGCACTGTTGGTGTCCATGTTTAGGGTGCTTGGTGGAACATACAGCCGTGGCTAGCACTGTTGGTGTCCATGTTTAGGGTGCTTGGTGGAACATACAGCCGTGGCTAGCACTGTTGGTGTCCATGTTTAGGGTGCTTGGTGGAACACACAGCCGTGGCTAGCACTGTTGGTGTCCATGTTTAGGGTGCTTGGTGGAACACACAGCCGTGGCTAGCACTGTTGGTGTCCATGTTTAGGGTGCTTGGTGGAACACACAGCCGTGGCTAGCACTGTTGGTGTCCATGTTGGTGTCTAGCACTGTTGTCCAGGGTGCTTGGTGGAACATACAGCCGTGGCTAGCACTGTTGGTGTCCATGTTTAGGGTGCTTGGTGGAACACACAGCCGTGGCTAGCACTGTTGGTGTCCATGTTTAGGGTGCTTGGTGGAACATACAGCAGCCGTGGCTAGCACTGTGGTGTCCATGTTTAGGGTGCTTGGTGGAACACACAGCCGTGGCTAGCACTGTTGGTGTCCATGTTTTAGGGTGCTTGGTGGAACACACAGCCGTGGCTAGCACTGTTGGTGTCCATGTTTTAGGGTGCTTGGTGGAACATACAGCCGTGCTAGCACTGTTGGTGTCCATGTTTAGGGTGCTTGGTGGAACACACAGCCGTGGCTAGCACTGTTGGTGTCCATGTTTTAGGGTGCTTGGTGGAACACACAGCCGTGGCTAGCACTGTTGGTGTCCATGTTTGCTTGGGGAAAAAACAAGCTTGGTGGAACACAACAGCCCGTGTGGAACCATGTTTAGGGTGCTGGTGGAACAGCCGTGGCTAGCACTGTTGGTGTCCATGTTTAGGGTGCTTGGTGGAACACACACAGCCGTGGCTAGCACTGTTGGTGTCCATGTTTAGGGTGCTTGGTGGAACACACAGCCGTGGCTAGCACTGTTGGTGTCCATGTTTAGGGTGCTTGGTGGAACACACAGCCGTGGCTAGCACTGTTGGTGTCCATGTTTAGGGTGCTTGGTGGAACACACAGCCGTGGCTAGCACTGTGGTGTCCATGTTTAGGTTGCTTGGTGCATACAGCCGTGGATAGCACTGTGGTGAACATGTGTACAGGTGCGTGGCTAGCACTGTTGGTGTCCATGTTTTAGGGTGCTTGGTGGAACACACAGCCGTGGCTAGCACTGTTGGTGTCCATGTTTAGGGTGCTTGGTGGAACACACAGCCGTGGCTAGCACTGTTGGTGTCCATGTTTAGGGTGCTTGGTGGAACACACAGCCGTGGCTAGCACTGTTGGTGTCCATGTTTAGGGTGCTTGGTGGAACACACAGCCGTGACTAGCACTGTTGGTGTCCATGTTTAGGGTGCTTGGTGGAACACACAGCCGTGGCTAGCACTGTTGGTGTCCATGTTTAGGGTGCTTGGTGGAACACACAGCCGTGGCTAGCACTGTTGGTGTCCATGTTTAGGGTGCTTGGTGGAACATACAGCCGTGGCTAGCACTGTTGGTGTCCATGTTTAGGGTGCTTGGTGGAACATACAGCCGTGGCTAGCACTGTTGGTGTCCATGTTTAGGGTGCTTGGTGGAACATACAGCCGTGGCTAGCACTGTTGGTGTCCATGTTTAGGGTGCTTGGTGGAACACACAGCCGTGGCTAGCACTGTTGGTGTCCATGTTTAGGGTGCTTGGTGGAAACACACAGCCGTGGCTAGCACTGTTGGTGTCCATGTTTAGGGTGCTTGGTGGAACACACAGCCGTGGCTAGCACTGTTGGTGTCCATGTTTAGGGTGCTTGGTGGAACATACAGCCGTGGCTAGCACTGTTGGTGTCCATGTTTAGGGTGCTTGGTGGAACACACAGCCGTGGCTAGCACTGTTGGGTGTCCATGTTTAGGGTGCTTGGTGGAACACACAGCCGTGGCTAGCACTGTTGGTCCATGTTTAGGGTGCTTGGTGGAACATACAGCCGTGACTAGCACTGTTGGTGTCCATGTTTAGTGCTTGGTGAACATACAGCCGTGGCTAGCACTGTTGGTGTCCATGTTTAGGGTGCTTGGTGGAACATACAGCCGTGGCTAGCACTGTTGGTGTCCATGTTTAGGGTGCTTGGTGGAACATACAGCCGTGACTAGCACTGTTGGTGTCCATGTTTAGGGTGCTTGGTGGAACACACAGCCGTGGCTAGCACTGTTGGTGTCCATGTTTAGGGTGCTTGGTGGAACACACAGCCGTGACTAGCACTGTTGGTGTCCATGTTTAGGGTGCTTGGTGGAACACACGGCCGTGGCTAGCACTGTTGGTGTCCATGTTTAGGGTGCTTGGTGGAACACACGGCCGTAACTAGCACTGTTGGTGTCCATGTTTAGGGTGCTTGGTGGAACACACGGCCGTAACTAGCACTGTTGGTGTCCATGCTTAGGGTGCTTGGTGGAACACACGGCCGTAACTAGCACTGTTGGTGTCCATGTTTAGGGTATTTAGTGGAACACACGGCCGTAACTAGCACTGTTGGTGTCCATGTTTAGGGTGCTTGGTGGAACACACAGCCGTGACTAGCACTGCACTGCTGCTGCTATAAACTGCTGTTGAGTATTAATCCAACAGCCCCCCCCCCCCCCCCCCCATTCCCTTTCCCGTCAGAATGACCCACTTCAGCTGTGAGCGACCTGGCTTGGACGGACGGCCAGGTTTAGCGCCGTTAAAGAGAAGCTGTGATGGTGTGGGTGACCGGAGAAATGGATCGATGTGTATTGTTTGCATGTTGGGGCCATCAGTCAAATCTAGCCACTGTTGGCGCACAGGTGGCAGGTTCTTGGAAGATTGGAGTTGCTAGAACAGCTGTACTTGTTCTTCTTCTTTCTCTTCCTCTTCTTTCTCTTCCTCTTCTTTTTCTTCTTCTTCTTCTTCTTCTTCTTCTTCTTCTTCTTCTTCTTCTTCTTCTTCTTCTTCTTCTTTTTCTTCTTCTTCTTCTTCTTCTTCTTCTTCTTCTTCTTCTTCTTTTTCTTCTTCTTCTTCTTTTTCTTTGTCACGTTTATCAGCAACATTACCGTTTCATTGCTGCTAATCTCTGTCTCAAGCAGTATTTAGGTTTTATTGCTGCCAATTTGTGTCTCAGTCACACTTACACGTCATACCCACTGGTGTGGGTTTTACAGAAGAATGCTTAGGATACCTTGGACAGCTAAAAAGAGCAACTAAGAGGTTTTGAAAGAGGCGGGAGCCTGAATTAAACTTATCACAGACATCAGAAGGAGACAGTCATAATTTTTCGGCCATGTTATGAGAAGAGGGAAAATAGAACATGTTGTGACCACTGGAAAGATCTGTGGAAGGATGGACAACGAGAGAAGATGCTTGCCAGTCTTGTTGCATGGCATGAAGGTGTGTCGGCACACGAACTGATACATGCTGCAGGAGATCGCGGATTGTAGAGAGGCATGGTCGCCCACGCCAGTCGGCAAGGCACCTGATGATAATGACCCACTGGTGGCTGTCTCATCCATCGCCGACGTTTACCTGTCAGATCCTCTGATCCCCGTCTGGATCGTACACACACACGTAGTACCACCGCCCACACGTAGTACCACCGCCCACACGTAGTACCACCGCCTACACGTAGTACCACCGCCCACACGTAGTACCACCCCCCACACGTAGTACCACCCCCCCCACCACACGTAGTACCACCCCCCCCACACGTAGTACCACCGCCCACACGTAGTACCACCGCCCACACGTAGAACCCCCCCCACACGTAGTACCACCCCCCCACACGTAGTACCACCGCCCACACGTAGTACCAC